AATAATAAATATCAGTGGTATTGTTGTTCTCCTACCATCTGTCAGTTTATTGTGCATATGGTAAAGTGTTGCTGTGAATCTGGAAGCTATGCCACTGGTATTTCAAATACCAGCAGGGTCACCCACGGAGGACAAGTTTCAGTGGCATTTCCAGTGTAAGATGCACAAGGGAAAAAGGTCTAGTGATCTACTTCTGATAATTAACCAATAAAGACCCTGTAAGTCACAACAGAGTCGTGTCTGACATAGTGCTGGAAGATGGCCTCCTAGGTAGAAAAGCACTGAAAATATACATTGGCCACAAGAAGGGATTGATTTGAGAGTACCAACAATCATGGATGTGGTACAGAACCAGGCAACGTTTTATTCTATTGAGTAGGAGCTGACTTGACAGCCACTAAGCCAGTGAGATGGATTGGCCAAGTGGCAGCATCAATGGGCTCAAGCGAGGCAATTGGGCAGTGCTTCGTTCTGCTGTGCATAAGGTCATTATGAGTTGGCACCAACTTGATGGCACCTAACAACAACAACAAGTAAACTAAAACTAATTATTGTTATCACTCCAGCACAAAGCAGAGGGTCAACACTTAATGAGGTGAAAGGGAGTCAGTAGACCTTGATCAATTTCCAGTGTTGACACTAACTTGCTGTGGAAACATGGGAAAATCCTTTATTTCCTTGAGCCTCTGTTTCCCTTTTTATAAAGTGAGTGGATTGACTCTCTAAGGACCTTTCATGATCAGGATGCTCTGAAATCTATGATGCCCTTGCTCTCTTACTCTGGATGGACTAGGGTTGATGGCTGGGGCGTCAGTAGGGTTCCTTGAGTAATCTTTATGGACAGCGAGCACAGTCTGTGTTATGAAGAGACCTTACTTCTGTGTTCAGCCCTGTGCCTGTGTGACCTTGGCCAGGAAACTTGACCTCTCTGTGCTGCCTCTCCTCATCCAGCAAATAGGACCATGGCTCAAGGAAGAAAGAGCTCAAAGACTGTGGGGTTGTGGGCGGATCCCATAGGAATGCTAGAGGGCCACCCTATGATGTGTCTCAAGGACTGAGTCAGGGGTGGGAGTCTTGGAAACACAAAGCAGCTGCCTGGCTCTCCCGAGGCCTAGCTTTGCCCAGAAAGTCCTCCTGCTATATTGGGCCCTATCTCACATTCATCACGACTAAGTGTAAGTCCTAGCCAGCGTCTTTAACACTCCTGGACCCCTGCCCAACCTCCTCACCTCTCTCAGCCTCAGCACTTCTCTTATGGTTCATTCTCCACATATCAGCCACTGTCTTCTTTCCACCTCCTCATTGCTCTCCACCTTTCCTAGCTTCCCAAACCCCTCAAACGTCCAGTGGTTCCACTGGCCTTGCTTTGTTCCTCACTAGAAGCATCGTGGGCTGCGTCACTGAGCTCCAGGCTGATCTTTCAGTTCCAGGAGCACCGGGTGTCCCTACTGTCCCTTTGCCCACAATACCCTGTCCCCACTTGCTGTACGACCTGATTCGCTCCCTTTTGTAAGTCTTTCCTAGTGTCTCTTTCTGGTCCAAATCTTCTTATTCTGGATTTTCACCAAGATATGTTGTTGTTGTTAAGTTTCTTTTGAGTTGGTTCCGACCCATAGCGACTGAGGAGTGGCTGGTGGGCTTGAATATCCAACCTTGAGGTTCAAATGGACTTTGCAGTCCAGTCCATTTATCTACAGTGCCAAGCCAGGATTCCACCAGATATAATCTTACCCTTATTTGTGTGAACATTCTATTCCTATCTGCCCCCATCACAAGTCAGGCTGAAAGCAACCTGAGGGCAGGGTCTCACCTAGCACCTAACACAGTCAATCTCAGTACACAAAAAACTGTGCTAATAGATATTTGTTAAATGAATGAATGCATGAATAGATGAATTCCGATACCTATTCCCAACCTTGAAGCCCAGGTGAGGTACTTTACTGAACTGCAAAGTTGGTTTGAAACCAGAGGATCGACCGTTCAAGCTCAACAGCTGCACCTTGGAAACTCTATGCTATGCAGGGTCGCTATGAGTCACAACTGACTGGATGACACTCTACAACACTCCCAACCTTTGGAGCCCTGGTGTGGTAATGCAGGATCAGCACGGGACTGCTAACCACAAGGTTGGCAATTCAAACTCAACAGCCACTCCTTGGAAACCCTATACAGGGTCGCTATGAGTCAGAACTGGCTTAACGGCACTTAACAACAACAGTATGAGGAACCTGTCTCTGAAGAAGGACATCAAGCTTGGTAAAACTGAAACTCAGTGAAAAAGATGAAGACCCCCAACAAGAAGCACTGACATGGTGGCGGTGGCAATGGGCTCAAACATAACCACAATTATGAGGGTGGGACAGGACTGGGCAGCGTTCTGTTGTGCATAGGTTCGCTGGGAGTCAGATCCGACTCGAGGACACCTAGCAACAACTAGAAGCACTGGGTTTCGAACCACAAACACTGAATTTCGAACTCATCAGCTGCTCTGCAGGAGATAGATGAGGCTTGCTGCTCCCACAAAGATTTATAGCCTCAGAAGCCCTATACAGGGTTGCTATGAGTCAGAATCAACTTGATGACACTTAACAATAACAGAAGTAGAACGGACCTAGAAGACACCAACATTCCCACTCTCAGGATAGTCCTGAAGTCCTCTGTGCAGGGAATGTCAGCAGTCATTTGCATACCTCCTGTGATGGGAAGCTCATTTTCTCCTATGACAGCCATTTCATGATGGAGCATTTTCATATGGGTGAGTTGAAATCTGTCTATCTTACCCCTGGCTTCCCAAACTTAGACCTTTAACGTCCGACCCCAGGTCTTCTCTCCCTCCAGGTCAGGCAGCTTCAATTACTTCAACTCAGAAAGAGAGTTCAATCCTGAGAGCCGCTTCTTTTTCCTCTGTACACTTCAAGTTTCTCACTGACCCATGAAAGGTTGAGTCCTGAGTTGAGTCCAGAGCTCCAGATGACTTCCAGCAAAATTCCATCAGTGTGTCTACTTCCTGGCATAGGAAACGGAGCCAGGTCTGCTGATGCAGTGGCTCATCCAAGGCAGCCACGTGCTCATCTGGGTCAGCGACGACTCAGGCAGTCCCTTTTCTGCTCTCCCAGGCAGGACCCTCATTTTGCTGTGTTAACTTGGGCACAGTCCCCTTGCCTTTCTGGCCCTCAGTATTTCAACTTTACAATGGAAAGGGTTCCTTTGAGCTGGGAGGGAAACCCAGTGCTTTCCGAGTCTCCAGCTTTCTTAGTCTTCATCACAGCCCAGAAAGCATCCACACGGAGTCCAGTGCTTGGAAGAGACCATGCTTGATTCAGTGCTCTGTGAGCACTGTCTTGAAGTCCTTGATCATTTTTTTAACAAAGAGGACTCATATTTTCATTTTGCATTGGACCTGAAAATTATCCTGACCCTGGAGTCCTGGTGTGGTGCTGTAGGATAAGCACTAGACTGTTAATCAAAAGGTCTGTGGTTCAAACCCTATACAAGTTCCCTATGAGTCAGAATCCACTTGATGGCACTAACAACAACATCCTGATCTCTACCAAGCTGCTCCCAACCCAGAGATGGAGCCGCCCTGCCCTACCTAAGATGGCCTGAGAGAGGCTGGAACTGATAAGTTCACACATGGACTTACACATATAAGGGGGTCACCAGTGATGTCAGCTGACCAAACTCCATGGGGGAACTTCTGTATGGCTACATGGGACTGAGCCACCAGGCTTCCTAACCAAGAGCCCTGTTCTTCACAAAGGTGTCCCCCAGATCCTTCAACTTTACTTCCGCTTCCCAATTAGACTGATTTCCTCTCTTAACTGGCTTTCCCATACTTGGGTAGCTGTAATATGTTTGCCAGTCCTTAATGAGGGTACAGTAAGTACATGGTGTATTTAAGTTATCAAGGGGCTTCAGCTATAGCAAATTGACCAGTTTTGGGAAGGATTCTAATGAAAACAAACCAGCTGTTAAAAAAACAATTTTTGAGTCAACTGGAGTATTTTGAATGCAAAATGTGTGTTAGATAATGCTAAGGAATTTGGGTTAATTTTGTTAGATGTGATAACGGCATATTATGCAATAAAATGCTCATGTGTTTTAGAGCTGTGTGCTGCAATATGAAGGGATAAAATAACATGATGTCTGAAATTTGTTTTAAAATACTTAAGCAAAAAAAAAGGGGGGGCGGTGCAGATGAAACAAGTGTGACAAAATCTTGATAACTGTTGAAATGGGGGTGATGGGTATATACGAGCTTATTCAGTTTTACTTCTTGTTTTTTTAAAAAGGGGTTATGGGGTTCGTTAGAAGAATTTGTGAGAAGCTCCCCCCAGAACATTCCAAATGCCTACCCCACCCCTTGCAGCACTTTTTTCTAGAGCTACTTCAGGCCATCTCTGGGTTCTCCAACTGTATGCAGACAAGTGTATGTGCATATGTGCATTTCCCGGGGAGAAAAGTATCTACAGCTTCATCAGAGACTCCTTAGGGTCGTGACCCGCCCTTCCCTTCCCCCCAAAATGATTAGAATCCTTTTACCTAAGGAACAGAGCCCTGTTTGAAGTTAGTGTGCCCTTCCACTCCCCACCTCAAGTGCATGTGTAGTGTTCGTCATAGGCCCAGTTTGGCTCTGTGACACTGAGCCCGTGTCTTCACCTGTAAAATGGGGCCAAGGAGCGATTTATGCGGCTGCAGGAAGAACTAGGTAGTCCGGGCCTCAAGGCCGCCAGCCTCGTAGGAGACTCCCCACGTGCAGCGAAGCTTCAGCCCTAGCCCAGGACGCACCCTCGCGCCCCTCACCCCCTCCAGGCCCCGGCACGTCCACCTCCTGCTTGGGGCGGCAATTTGTCTCCTTTTGAACCCCTGGCCCCTGACGGTTTCCCCTCTTTGATTCTTGGCCCGGAGGCTTCCCCCCGCTTTGAAATGCAAACCCGCCTCGGCTGGGGCCCGCAGCCCGCCCGGGGCTATAAAAGGCTTGGGTGGGGCGGGCACCGGTCAGGGCGGGCGAGTTCAGGTGAGCAGTTGCTCGTCGGGGCGGCCGGCGGCGGCGGCTCCGGGGCCCAGCATGCGCGCGGGGCCCCGCAGCCATCATGTATGTAGGCTATGTACTGGACAAAGATTCTCCCGTGTACCCCGGCCCCGCCAGGCCCGCGGGTCTTGGCTTGGGCCCGCAAGCCTACGGTCCTCCGCCGCCGCCCTCCGCGCCTCCGCAGTACCCCGACTTCACCAGCTACACTCACGTGGAGCCGGGTCCCGCGCCCCCTACGGCTTGGAGCGCGCCCTTTCCTGCGCCTAAGGATGAGTGGGCCTCCGCCTATGGCCCGGGCCCCGCGGTCAGCCCAGCCCCGTTAGCATTCGGGCCCCCTCCGGACTTTAGCTCGGTACCTGCGCCACCGGGGCCCGGCCCGAGCCTCCTGGCACAGCCCCTCGGTGGCCCGGGCGCACCGTCCTCGCCTGGAGCGCAAAGGCGGACGCCTTTCGAGTGGATGCGGCGCAACGTGGCGGCAGGAGGCGGCGGTGGCAGCGGTAAGGACCCCTCCCTCGCCCTGCGCCTCTTAGACGGTTCCTCTGGGCATCGGCAGGTGCTAGGGCGCGGCTCAGGTCGCTCTTGTCTGACCTCTGCCCAGGCCCTGTTTCGGTTCTAAGGAGTGTGCTCTCCCACGCCCCCGACCCCGCTCCATTTAGGGTATCTGTTCTTTGAGCTCCCTCTTTCCCCAGGCCAACTTCTCCTTTCAGAATTGCAGCTCCTCCGGGGAATCTTATTTAAGGACAGCTTAGCTCTCTCTTTCTCTCTGTCTCTCTCTCTTTTTGGTAGATAAGGAAACTGAGGCCCGCGAAGTGAATAAAGGCTCCTTGTGGTTGCATGACAGAGTCGGAACTAGGACGCTGCCCCCTGACTTTTTCATCTCAGAGAGTTCTTTCAGCAACACTGGGTCTAGTCTTGTTCATTTGTGTCTTCCACTCGTATTCCAGCCTCAAGTAGAGGCTCAAACCCGCGCCAGAAGGCACCATCCACTGACTGTGAACATGGGCAGGTCTCATTCCTTTCCGGGTTTCAGTCTACGGATCCGTACAGTGAAGAGATTGATGGTTCATATCCTGTGGGCTCAAAAAGAGTTGTTTTTGGTTCGACTGGGGGCCATACCTTACCTCCCCAGGACCCTCGCTGAACTCTTGACCCTGGGGGAGGGGAAAGTCGAAGCAGTTAGGAGGTGGCTACTGTTTGGCTCCTGAGCCTGTGGACCTCCTGCCCCCAGGCAGGCCTCTGATCCACCCTCTTCAAAGGCAAGGGAGGGGACAAGACAAAAGCCCAGCTTTAATGAGGGGTGGCCTGACCTTCTTTATGGACTCCCCCCTTTGTCATGTAACAGGCTGAGCCTTGGCTCGGTAGTGACTCCTGTTGGCCGGAAAGTGAACACGACACCCTATTGTCCCAGTCATGTCCGGCCTGTCCTGACAAAGGCCACCTGGCCTTGGGGGCGGGAAGCTGGCCTGCCCACCCTTTGATGTCCGGTCCATCCTCCCCTTCCCCCAGTTGGGAGTGAGCCTGGGATTTGCCCCACCTCCTCTCTCTTGATTTTCCCTTACACACCCAGCCCACCCCAGGGGCAGCTGCTGGGGAGGGGTTGACCAGTGGCTACAGATTCTGCCTGTAATTCTCCACCTTTGTTGGGAGTTCCAGGAAAACAGAACTTCCCATTTGCCTGCAGAATTCCGGAAACTGGGATTTATTCCCTGGCTTTCCCACTCTTCTATGACTTTGGTTAAAAAATAGTCATGAGTATTTATGGAAGCAAAGAGCTCTGATAGCGTAGTGGTTACAAATCGGGCTGCTAACCTGAAGGTCAGCAGTTCGAAACTACCAGCTGTTCCACAGGAGAAAGATGAGGTGTTCTGCTCCCGTAAATATTTATAGCCTCAGAAACCCTGTGCAGGGTCACTATGAGTCGGAACCGACTCCACGGGCACTTAACAACAACAGCAACATTTATGGAAGGAACCTTGGTGATCCAGTGGGTTAAGCATTGAGTTGGTGGTTTGAATTCACCAGTCACTTTCTGGTGAAAGATGAGGCAGACTGTCTTTGCATAGGCTGGGAAACCCTAAGGAGCATTTCTAGTTTGTCTCACCCTATGGGTGAGAATCAATACGACTGCAGTGGGTAACGTTTATGTAGAAGTCCCTGGGTGGCTCAAATGGGTAAGCACTTGACTACCAGATGCTAGATTGGTGGTTTCAGTCTATCCTAGGTAGACTGATCACTGAGCCTGTGCTCTAATCCTCTACACAAGAACTTTCTTAAATCAATCTTGTTTTTGGGTCTCAATTTTCTCATCTGTGCTACTAGAGGGAAAGGAAGTTTTGCAGTGGTATGTACCCTTGTATGGGCTACAAAAGGATTCCTTTGCAAACTCCAATAGAAAGTAGAAGTCTTCTTCCTAGGGAAAAAAAAAAAATGTGCTATTAGATAGACACTATCATGGCTTTTGGAGACCCCTAGAAGCTGTCTCCATGCTGTCTTCAATTACATAAGAGGAGGTGTCTGGGGACACTGACCTTCAGGATCGTCCAGTTCTGTGTCTGAGAGACCCTGGAGAAAAAGGAAGCTTGCTTTCCTGTTCTCTATTCCAGTTGCTGTTTCCTGCTTACCAGATGCCTTTGAAGATGATGGGGAGGTTTCTTGTGGATGGGTATTTGGAAAGATACCAACACTGCACAAGGGAAAAAGAACTAGTCACCAAGAGCCCTAGGCAAGCTTTCAGGCTGTGTCTCCCCTGGTCTCTCTGAGCACAAGAGTTGCTTAGCCAGTTTAGGCTCTTGTCTTGAAAGTTATATATGTAAACCATTGTTCCCAGGTAGATAGGGGGACCTATGACTGACTGTCCAAAGGCAAAAGCTGTCTTTATTCCCAGAGAGTAAAGGGAAGTTTGGGTATTCTAGAGCCTCCAGGGAAGGGACTGCCTGAGTAGCTGGATTTCATCAGTTCTTAGAAGAGACATAGGAACTTTGGCCTTCTTGAAGCCAGTAGCTGTGTCTGTCTTCTCAGGGCATCTGTCTCTAGCCAGTGCTCCTGAGGTAAGGGCACAATTGGATGGAGTTGCAGACTTTCTATAGGGGACAGACCAACCCCTCTGTCATCCTTGGCCTCAGTTTCTCCATCTGGACAGTAAAACACAGGATCTCATATGTTTACCCATGTACCACATTTTTATGCAGATTTGCTCTTTATACTGAATAAAACCCAGCAACCTCCTCACCCATTGTTTGCAGGAAAATAGAGTAATTCTGTTGACAGCAGAAGGAGGTGAGAGCAAGTCCCTTACCCCATCATTGGCAGCCTGATCTTCAGGACCTCTTCATCATTCCACCCTTCTTGGCTAGCCCCCTCTTCCCCTGTTCTGAGCCTCCAGCATTCTA